CCCCCCCCCCCGCCCCCCCCCGCCGCGGGCCCCCGCAGCTTCGCCCCTACCGAGACGGCCCCGGGTACCGAGGCGGCCCCCCCGCGGGCAGCGCCCCAGCTGCCAGGGCCGGGGGGTCCGGGGAAGCCGGCGGGTCGCTGCCCTTGCCGGAGCTCCGCTGCTAGCGGCGGGGCCGCGGCCGGGACCGCTCCCCGCCGGGCAGCCCCAGCACCACGGCAGGAGCGGAGCCCTTGGGCTGCCCCCGCCGATCAGGTGTTTTGCGGTTCTTTGTAAATGCCGTCGCTCCCCGTGCGACCTTCCTTCCAGCAACCCTGGAAACCCAGATATTTATTCCCCCCCCCCCCAAACAGATCCTTCCTCCGCGTTTAAAGCAGCCCCCCTGAGAAAGGCTTCTCCCAACTATCGACTTCCAGGCGGTCCGTTCGAGCGGGCTCGGAGCCGCATGCCCAGAGGAGCGAGCTGGCATCTGCAGCGGGGGCGCGGGCTCACCTTTGCCTCCCCGGCGTCGGGCTCCTCCTCGTAGTACCCCTGGCCGGACTCGTAGGCGGCGGCGGCGGCCGGCTGCCGGGGTCCCAGGAGCACGGCGCCGGCAGCAAGGCAGCAGCCCAGGGAGAGCACCTCCAGCAAGTGCATTGTGCAAAGATGGCAGGGCGAGCAGCGGGGCCGCGGGGCGGCTGCAGGAACGCAGGCGAAATTATGAGGCTCCTTCTCTTCCTCTCCCCCCTCCCTCCCCTCGCAATATCCAAGGCAGTAAAATCCGTGGGATGGAGAAGATGCGGTAGCAGCAGCTCCCAGGCGCCGGCAGGGGAGTTCCCAACTTTCCCAGCCGCTTTGCAAATTGTCACCAAAGTTATCCCGAGTTTGCCAGGTAAAAAACCCACCAGGAAACCGGACATCCGAGGCTGCGCTCACTCAGGAGGTGGAAAGCGCAGAGAGGAGGAGGAGGAGGAGGGAAGGGAAGGGGGGAGAGAGAGAGCGAGCGGCAGAGCAGGACCGAGCGGCCGGGCGCACCGGGGGAGTTCCCTTCGCCCTCCCGCGCGGGCCGAGA